TCAAGTTGTCACATAAACTTTATTACTTTAGTTAAGAAAGGGAAAGAGAACGCCAGTAAGCCGGGACTAGTCCCTGTCACCACCTACTTTACATAGGGTCGCGTGTAACCCCAAATGGCCATAAAATAAACAGAATGTCCCTAGTGTGCACACCCCTCACTAATACCCATTGATTAAGAGGAAGACTAAAGAGCAATATACGTCAATTTAAACCAACTAGTAGCAACCATAACCACTAGTGGGCAACCTGTTCTTCACCCTTTCGGGTTTCATTTCCCTTCTTAATTTAATGTACATTTTAATAGATTAAATTGTCCGATCACATTGCATACGAGTACTGCACAGATCAATTTAATCTCAAGTAACAATATTTTAGTTTCAGTACTTTTAAAACCGAGTCATTTTACAAGACATACTAGTAACAACTCGTTTCTCAATAGGTCTTGGAGACCATCAATCACATATAATCAATCATCCAATTCCCAAGATTTTAATTATATAAAACTCATACGATACCAAATAATCAAATTTTCGAAAATATTATACTAGTACACAATTATAGAAAACTAGTATATAATATAATTCCAGAATATCATACGGTAACACATCCATCACGTATAATTACGTAAGAACATAGTTGGCACACAATAATTTAAAACAATTTCCTAACGGAATTCTAAAGATGATGGAAATTGAAAATTACCTTGAATTGCGCGTAAATCTCAAGGTAAATAACCTCCAAAACGCTCACCTAGTAGCCTCCGTCTACAAATAAACAGATAAACGAGTCTAAATTAGTCTTACGGCATTACTAATTGAAATAGTTAGTCATTACTTAGTTGTTTATAATACCCAAACTCAAAGCCCACTACGAAACTTTTCAATAGAAGGCAATATAGGTGTAAGTGGCTTAAAACATGAATTTGTTTAACTATTAAAACAAAAAGAAATCATCATTTTTTTTATATATAAAAAACACCAGTTTACTAAAATCCTACCACTACCAGAAGACCTGAGATTAGGAGAAAAGAAAGAAAAAAAAAACAAAGTGAGCGACATTGATTTGCAGAAGAAGACAACAACGAAAATTGCAATCCACAATTGTATACAATGGATTAAGAAGGTGGTATATTATAGGTTTCCTTGATAATCATCTAAGATGGATGGAAATAGAAGAAACATGGTTTATTACTATACTCAACAACTATGGTTGATATGGTAGCAAGTACTACGAATTAAAGAAGAGTGTGGATATACGGCAACGGTGTTGACGGTAAGGGCTGAAGCTATGGTGGTCTAAGATGGAGACAAGAACAAGATTCAATTTGAGTGCCAAACGTCGGTTTCGTCGACGGAGTTACAGGTTTAGCAATGAAAGGTGTTAATTAAAGACTACTAGCCGAAAAATTGAAGCTTAATTGACTAGTTAAACATCTAAATAAAGAAGGGATTATGAGTTATTTGAGCTCTCATACCTATCAATCAATGGAGATGAAGGGTAGAAGAAGAAGAGTAAATTTTTTTTTTTTGTTCCCCCCTTTCTCACGGCTAGCAATCTTATAATGTGGGGATTTGGGTGAGATTAAGTTTTGGGATAGATTCAAGTAACCAACTATGATAAGATTAAAGATTCAAATTTTAGATCAAATAGCTTTCAAATAATCAGTTCTTGAATTTTATCCCAAAATCAGTTTATTTTTATTTTTATTTTTATTTTTAAATCCGAAAATGGAAATAAAAATAACAATTATTAAAAATTTATTATTATTTTTTTTTTATAAATTTGAAAATAATTATAAATTTAAACTGTATACTAGAAAAATCGTTGATTAAATATAATAAAAAATTTGGGGTATTATATAGAGAATCGGGGAAGCTTCCGGCAGGGGAGGAGTTACAGGTGGGGGATGATTTTTGGGGAAGGGGAGTAGGAGTGGGATGGTCGCCGGCGTCGAGGGAAGGGGTCGAGAATGTCGCCGGCAGGGGGGATGGTCGCCGGCCAGCAAGCCGGGGGTGGGGGTCGAGGTGGCTAAGTTGGTGGTGTTTAATTTTACGGATTTTTCACCAAAATACCACAAAGTTTTTGCATAATTCACCATATACCACACGAAACTTTCTAATACACCAAATACCACTGAGTTTAATATAAATGTCACAACATGCCCTTTCCGTTAAGTCCATTAATCATTAACGTTAATTGTTCCACGTGGCAGCTTGTAATTGGTTCTAATTAATATTATTTATTTAATTAATTAACTTTAGAAAATTATTTTTAAAAACAAAATAAAATTAAACACCACCAACTTAGCCATCCCGACCACCACCCTCGGCTAGCTGGCCGGCGACCACCTTCCCCCCCCCCCCCCCCCCCCCCCCCCCCCCCGCCGGCAACATTCTCAACCCCTTCCCTCGACGTCGGCGACCATCCCACTCCTACTCCCCTTCCCCGAAAATCATCATCCCCCACCTATAACCCCTCCCCTGCCGGAAGCTTCCCCGATTCCCCAATTCTTGATTTCTCAATTCCCGATTCTCTAACCCAATTCCCGACTTCCCCGCCGGACTCCCCTTCCCCGATTCCCCAATTCTCGATCTTTCTAACCAAATTCCCGATTTCTTACCTGTAAACCTAACCCTAATAAAATCCCCAATTTCCCTCTTGCAAATCCCAATTTGGAAGATCTACGGCAAAGAAATTAACCACCCATCAAATCTTGACAAAGAGAGAGAAGGTCGAATGAGAAGCGAATTTGTTCAAAAAAAGATACCGATAATCGAAGGTGAAGGTCGAAATTCAGGGCGGGGAAGGTGGTTGGCTGATTGATGTTGTTGTATGGTTGCGGATTTTGGGTGTTGTCGGTTCAGGGGGAGGGGGAGGCCGATGCGCTAGCGAGAGAAGGGTTGGGCGCCGGCGTGGGTGGGGCGGGGATAGGGTGGTGGCTGGTTGGGAGACGTTGGTGGTGGCTCTTTTTTTTTTTTTTTTGTAGTTCTTTATTTAAGTAATTAATTAGATAATATAAATAAGAGTCAATAAGTGAAAGCCACGTGGCACAATTAACCTTAATTACTAACGGAGTTAACGGAAGACTAACGGTAGTTACCAAAAATGGCATTTCGTGTTAATATACATTAACTCATTGGTATTTGGTGTATTAGAAAGTTTCGTGTGGTATATGGTGAATTATGCAAAAACTCAGTGTTATTTGGTGAAAAATTTCGATCCTCTACATTAGTAATAGCGACAATCCCATTTTTAAAAGGTTTATGTGTCAAGTTTTTTTTAACCAAAATAGTAAGTAAAAAGTACCATGTAAACTGTAAAAATCTAATCGATAATCTAACCAAGTTTAGTACGTGGCACTAATATAAATTACGATAAAGTGAGTACTTGGTGAAATAAAGGCTCAATGACGAGGCACTTATAAGTAAACATTCTACAAAACTGATCCTATATTTTTTTTATTTTTGTCTTATGATATCTTTTTTAAATATTATATTTATTTATTTATTTATTTTTATTTATTATTATTATTATTTTTTTTTTTTTTTTTTTTTTTTTTGTGTCTAGAAATGTAGGTGGGTCATAATGTTATGGCTTATATTGTGTGAATTTACTTGCCCAAGTTCCACAAAGTCAATTTACTTGTTTCTATTGTTGGCTTCAAGTAAGTTTCTTTACATTGTCACTCTTTTTCATTTGTTTTGGTTGATAAAATGGTTATTTTGAATTTGAAATCCTCTTTATACTCAAAAGCAATAATAACTTTATAAAAAACAATGATGTGAAGTTTCATATTCAATATCATTTGAGCTCATGGTTTTTTCTTCTAAATCAATTCTAGCCTAAAATCTTTATATAAAATGTATAGTTTTTTTAGGGAAAAAGTTTGTATATATGCCTGTTAAAAATAAGAAATAATCTTATTCAATTATTTTTTCCTTTTAAAATTAAATATTTTCTAAATAAATGCATGTCAAAAAATATCAATAACATATTTGGACTTTTAAGTCACAAATTCGAGTCCCACCATCTACATATGCTTTGGAGTTGGTGGATTACCTTACCTCCCCCCTCTACTTTCTAGTTCAGAAGGGTCCTTACAAAAAAAATTTAGAAACTACTTTGTATATGCAAGAAAAGAAGTTAAATTCAATATACTTTAGGACGATAAGTACACAATATTTAAGGATTAGCTTTGTAGCTTGATCTAACGCCAATAAAATAGTACTCCTAAAGTTAACTAAGACTATAGGCTTGATCATGAAGATTACATTCATATTAAAGTACCCCTAGTTTTGTTCTTTTTTGAAAAAACCCCTAGTTTTGTTCTGGTTAAGGAGCTGAGTTTAATAATTATGATTGCATTTATCATAGTACAAGAGGGATGCAAATTAGTAATAATCAAAAAAAAAATTTAAAAAAAAAAAGCAACAAAAAATAATAATAATAACGTGAAGAATAAAGCCAAAAAAATTAAGAAATAGAAGAAAAAAAAAAGGGGAAAGTACTAATGAATGACAAGTAACTACGAAAACAAGATGGTAATGTAACCCGTGATTAGACGACTATATCAACTTAGATTAGACGACTCATCAAATATTATTAACCCGTGATTAGATGTCTATATCAACTTGTTTCTACAATACGCACATTTTTACACCCTACAATCCTACATACAATAATTTTGTTTTCTTTTATTAGGGATTTAATATGTTTTAAATTTGTATACTATATAAGTATATATGCCACTATGATATTAAATTAAACGTTGATGAAAATATTAAAACTGCCTTATATAGGGCTATATTAGAGGTCTAGAGTTTAAAACACATGATTGACCAGTGACACCTTACACTTTCTTCTTATCGGTTGTAAAATTATTTCAATTAATATCATTGACAACGCTCCATCCTTCGTCAATGATAATGTTGTCCTTGGCAAGAGAAACAGGTTGGCGAAGTATATTGGAGAAAGTGAGAAACATAAAACTCAGAGAAAGTACACACCAATCCTCCACTTTTAAGAGCAATAATAAAGTGATGACTATTTTAAACATCAGATTTGAATCATAGTTCCAAGATATATCAAAATTGTAAAACCTAATCATACCATATCTAAGCCTCACCAGGTCAATTACATGAAACCAGTTAAATGTCATCTACTTTCTGTTGTTCTTTTGACTCTTCACAAATATTAATATATAGAAAATTTTGCAAGGTTACAAATACAATGAGATATAAAAGAGCTACATAACCTAGTCTACTTTGACGCATTGTCTCCGACGGCTATGGAAATATAACACAAAAGATGCCACCACGCCAATCACATAGCCAAGGAGCGCTCCATACGTCACACATATGGGCCATTCCTGCAATTCAATTGAATATGAAACAAATAAATAGAAGATCAAAGTGTCTAATGACTTTCTCCAGCATCCATGAAATACCAAAATAGCAGCAAAATTTAAAGTTCCCAACCACATACAATGGGAATCCTTCTGCAGTCATTGTTTTTCTCTCCAGAAAAAAGGGTAAATCATGTCCTATTAAATAATGTGGTTTAAAATATTTAATAAGTACAATAAAGATGATTACAACTAACAGGACAAGTAGTAACTGAATTGGTCCAAAAAACCCCAAATTAAAGATAGATCAAAAAGAGTGCCAGGCATTCTATAAAATTAATACGAGTACAAAGTATCAATAAGTTTCATTCAGCATAATTGCTTTAAACCTAAAACCCAAATATAGCAGAAAGTTCTTTGCAGTAGAGTTTTCTGTTCTTGTCTACAAAAGCATTACTCACCCTGAACATGCAAAATGTAGTGAATGGCAAACCAAACCTCCTCCATCCATCGAAACCAACTTGAACTGCTACCCCATTGCAAAGGATTTTATGCAAGTAAAAGTAGACAAAAATTTGGGTGGATGAATGTGAGACCCAACTCATGAGAAAAGTAGATTGGCATATTTTATTAAGAATACATGGCAAGTAAATGGGGATGCCACAAAAAGGAAATGGAGCAAACAAAATGAGACGGAGCTAGTTATATTAACCATATATAATATCACTACAAAATGAGACGGAGCAAGCAAACTTTCAACATTCACAGATATCACAATAATCCAGAAGACAGATCAACTTGGACTCTCATAGTCTCATTAGTGTAGTAGATTTCCTATATCTGCTCCAATCAAAGGTTTTACCTTTATGGGAATTTCCATCACATAAGAATTCTAAGACATGCTCCTCTTCTTCAAGATTAAGTCTTTTTAAGTACCAGAGAGCACTCTTTTCTCTCTAACTCCTAAGTCAACATGCCTCTTTTCCAAAGCATTTTCCTCCAAAACGCCAATGTCAAAAGCATACGGAGTATCATTAAGCAGTGATCGTGTAAGTTCTAACATCACTAGACGCCTTTTAATCCCATGACCATAAGCTGTCCTTTTAAAATTAAGCTGCCTCGTATATCTAAAGCCTAAATCAATAAAAGCAATAGGCTATTATGATTGATATAATAGACCTATTAATAATGAGAGGATAGTCAAGCACAAATCTAACATTATTCAGGTTCTTAATATAATAAATCCACAGGGCCACAACCTCAATGGAATAAACTTCCTGAGGACCGTCATACAGTGAAAATCCGTGTGATTCTTGTATAATAAAAATATGTTGTTGCTAAAGTATATGGTGCATTGTTATCATCATGACTTTATACTATATGTGAGCGTGTAGGCTGGTTAGTGAGTTCTACGCCATCGTAACCAACAAAACAGGCCAAGTTTAGCAAACTGTGACTAAGGAATAATTTAAAGTTGGAGAAACAAGCTTGAGTCAATTTTGATAACCTTCAATCAAAAAACATGGAAAATATAGAAAAGTATCACAGAAATACTCCCCTTGTCCTTTTTTTTTCTTTTTTCTTTCTTTCTGATGTACCAGATCGACTTATAGCACTATTCACATCCTCCATTTTACCATTTTTGGTTATTTTTAAATAAGAAAAACCATAGCCATGTGGGGGATCTTATTAGATACATCTCAATATGCATTATTAAAATTTCAACTTTTTTAATTTTTTACTTAAAAAAAATTAAAGCTATTATTGGTCAAAGTTATGTGTTGGCAAACATGCCAAGTCAATATAGTACAATTCAAAAAGCAGATTATGTACATAATTACCTGCCATGGCCTTTCCCAATCAAGTGGCATTGGCCAGGCCCCAAACCAGGAGCCAAAGATAGCACCATGTGCTGGAAGGCAAACCATATACTCAACAAATCCTGTTGGCCTGAAAGTGCAAAATAATAAGAAAAGTTATGTGCAATACTTGGAAGATTGCAAAAAGTAGCAACTATTAAGTTGCAAAATTTAGAAGCTGTGACAGAATTTGTATTATAATAATCAAGATCCTGCAGAAAACATAAGTATTAGCTTGGGTGAAAGAAGACCAAAAGATTATATTAGAAGGCGAAAAGGGTATGGTTCTTAGGGACTTGGTATCAGAAAGGTTCAACTTGCTAAGGACTGGATTACAGAGAGGAAGATTAGAAGAGAAAAGGTGATCACAGTGAAGGAAGGACAAGAATTGTAAAGAGGGAGAATTAAATTTGATAGACTAACTGGAAATACAGGCACTAAGGATTCTACAGGATGGCTCTCTCATAGAGTAAATACATATTTCTGGTTATTCCTTCTTTTTCTTCTTCCCTATCTATCATTTACTCTAGTTCTGTTCTCTCACTCTTGTAACTAACTTTTTTAACAAAAATTCCCTTCTTGCTCTCTGCTTCGGTAAAGAAAAAACATTATAATTGAATTGATCAATTTCTAATGTGGTGTTAATTGAAAGAACCGTTCTTCTTTAGTCATGCATAAGAAAAGCAGTGGGCTGGGGTGGTGCATTGCCCTTTCCAACATAAAAGCCAAAAAATTTACAGTTCTTTCCAGATGATAGGATCTGCTAGCCTTTCCCTTTCCCTTGCACTGCTACACGCCTATGCCCACCCCACCCACCCCCAAACTACAGCACTGGGTCAAAAGTTGACAAAATGAGGATAAGAGATGTCTCTCTCCTTGTTTCTTTTTGGATAAGTTAAAAGTCCACGCACTCCGCAACTATCCCAGATGACACAGTAGGACCTGATGACTAATCAGGCCTTACAAAACATGAATATAAAATTTTCACACAGCCAATTCATAACGGAGCAGATAATAACAAGAGACGGGCGGCATATAAATGGAAAGAAGCAACAATAGTACCATGGAAAAATAGAAAGAGAAGAATATCTGAACACTTGCCTAGTTTTAACAAATATACGTTGCCAGTCTACCCATGATGCACCGAAGATAGCAGCAGCCGGTAAGAACTGCCAGAGTATATCAATTTAGTACTATTACCAACTTCAAGAACTATAAAACATAGGCAAAGTATAAGTGATTTGATTTAATACACATACTATTGCTTTCCTGTCTTGGAACAAATCCACTTCTAGGTTCATTACCCAGGGTATTTTAGGGATGCAATAATATTTCTTAAGATTAAAATTAATAGTAATAAATAAAATAAAATAAATATAAAAACAGTACATAGAACGAGTTGATGTTACAGGAAGCCATTGGTACCCGTTCAAGCACAATCATGTTAGTTTGATAGTTCCTCATTAGCGCGCACGCGCGCGCACACACACACGCACACGCACGCACGCGCGCACGCACGCACGCACGCGCGCACGCACGCGCGCGCACACACACACACACACACATGAAAGTTCCAAAAGAAGGCTACCCAAGTTCAGTTCAAAACAACTCTGCACAACCAGTTCGTATATGTTCAGATAAGTCAAATAAGGTGAAGTAAACACACTCTCAATCATGGACAATGGTAGTCCTTGACTCCTTGGAGTTCTCATATTACAAGGAACCTTTAAGATACGTAAGTAGTGAGTTCCAACTTTTTTTTATATTTTCTTTCTTGATTATCACTTCATTTCACCAGCTAACTCTTATAGTCTTAACTCATAAGGAGTATTTTCTTGTATAACTTGCTACATACCAAACATAAGGAAAATTCATTCTTCTTTATATGTTAAAATTGTAGCGGAAAGAAAATGAAAGCAAAGGCGAGAGCACATAAACCACAAGAAATAGGAATGTACAAAACAAAAATGAACAAGTGCGTCTATTCAAGTGAGCGTAACAGCGCATGTGAAAGAGAAAGAGATAGACAGCATTCACTTACGGTAAGTGCTGACATCAGCAGAGACCATTTAATTGTGCTCAGCATATACCTGGCCACAAAAAAAAAAAAAAAAAAAAAAAAAAAAGATACAGCATTATCCATTGATCCTCATACATTCCAACATATCCACCTCATATTGTATGAGAAATGAAAAGAATCACAATAACTTTGCTCATTTGCAGTGAATGCATTTGCTCTTGTTTTCATACAGCAGTCATGACTAATACTGACCCCCAAAATGCCAAATTTTAAAATTCATGGGTACTTTGAAAATATAAAAATAGAGGAAATATACCAAAAAAAAAAAAAAGTTGTGTGGTGGGATGTAGGTGGCAGTGCTCTAGTACTAACATTTTCCACCTCACAACACACTTTAGTTTGAATTATGACATACTTGGATCATTATTAAAATTGTACTGAAAAGATTTAAGCCTGAAAACTGAGCGCCTATGACCTTTAAAAACCAGTATAAGGTATCTTGCTTTCACTGTGGAAGTCAAGGTCAACACTTAGTGTGGGGTCAAATTCTGCAATCATTCACTGCACAATTCTATAGACAACATTATGAAACCCTTGTAACACATACTTTGAGCCAACTGGAGCACCCAAGCTAATAGCTCCAAGAGCAAACACCAAGGCCCCTGCAGCAAACAAGATATAGGCATTACTGACTTAAACAAGAGATGGGCAGTATGGTAAAAGAAACAAGTTGCAGATGACATCAACACGGTAAAAAGAGCATAGAAACCAGAGCACTATCAATAAAGGATAAGAAAACATGTGATATGGAGATGGAGGTTCCAAAATTATCCTAAATGCAGAACAAATGACCCTTCCTCTGGACTAAAGTGGCAAGACAAAGCCAATGCTGCTTACATAATGTTTCCGACTAAATCTCACAAACAGCAAAACCAATTTTGAATCTCACACCTCACCAAGGCCACATACTCCCCAGGCAAATTGATGAGTCACACTGGTGAATCATATTCATATATGTACTTCAGGAGTTTAGGTACAATTATGTTGCATTTCTAGCTTAATTAGAGCATTTTTGTGCATATTTGTATGGTTTACTCAAGTTATCCTCTACTACTTGTTTGCGTGTGTTTGGCGTTTCAATGATTTTCAGGTGAAATCAATGCAAATGTAATATGTTTGGCAACACTTGAGTATAATAATCATGGAGAATGAAAATAGATTGCACGAGGATAACAACACATCTCTTTAGGATGAATTTGAGTTAAAATGAAGCAAAGCGCTTATGAAAGAAGTGCCAAAACTGACTCTTGTTCACTATTTTGCTCAAAACTTTTGACCTACAAATAACAATTAAGTGATTCCAATTGGGTTGGAAAGTAGAGTTGAAGAGCTTTCCTACGTTCAGTAACACACTGATTTTCAACGAGAAACAAGAAAGTTATGATGTTTTAAATATGAGCAGTTTTGAAGATCCATCACTCGCCCGATCAGGCGAGCTCGCCAAGTCCCATTGGGTGAAGGCTCTTTGCTCCGGTTTTTCTCCATATTTTGTATTCACGCCGGATCAGGCAGGTTCACTCAAGCGGCCTCCCAATGGTTTAGTGGACAAGGTTTCACACTTTCACATGATTTCTACTATTTTAAGAATTAAGTTTTGAGGCTTATAAATACTGTCTGAGGAGACACAATAAAGACCATCTTTTGACACTTATTTTCTTCCACTAATTATTTAACTCTCTTAATTTTTTAACCCTAAATTTTTTAGGGAAATCTTCCATGGATTGTTCTCGAGTTCTTCAACTTAGTTTTGTGAGATATTTCAATTTCTCTTTTCTTATTAATTGTTTTGTTTCATGTTTAACCTATATTTATCTTGTTATTCTTGCTTTGTATCTTAGATCTAGTATTTATAAGTTTCAATATGTTGAGACTGTGAGTAGATTATTACTAGGGTTAAAGGGTGCATCATAAACATCCTACCAAGAAAGTTAACAACAAGAATGAGTGGGATCCCCTTATCCAAACCCTGAGACGAAGTAAATTACTCCTTAGGAGAGGCATTCACTAAAGCTGAGAAATACGCGTGAGACAAGCACCCTTTAATCCGACACACCCTATCATATGGCATTTTAAGATTAGTGTGCAGCCACAGATTAATTTGGCATCCATCATTATTAGGTCAGAGGTGAATTTCATTAGATTAAAATGGGCAAGATGCCACCTTCCAAAAAATATTCCCTATTCGTTCATGCCTCTGCATCCCAGTTTCTCGAAAACCAATTCTCACCACAACCTATGAATGATACGCATTACAAGCATGCCTAAAGAACCAAAGCGGCTAATAAAGCATAAAACAGTCTAATCAATAAAACACATTCTCAAACTATATTAACGACGACAGATTAACCTAGCAAAGTAACTGGAAGAAATAGAAATTGGAGAAAACTTGGAAATCTCTCACCAGCAAGAAGCCCCAGTAGGCCTCGTCCTACAGCCTTCGAGAACTGACAGAAACGGTCAAATTTCATAGTTCCGTCCTAACATTAAAGGGTTCTGCAACACATGAACAACCAAATTTAAGGGGCGGCAGCCCTGGGCCCAGGAAAAAGAGCTCTGATTTCATAGTTGAATCCTAACATTAAAGTGTTGTTCAATACATTAGCAACCAAATTTGATTCAATTATCTCATAATTTTAGGGATATTTGATATGATGATAACAAATACTAACAACTTACCTCAGAAGCTGCTTCAATGGGGGATACAAGAACTATATTCAACGGAGAACGGCAACTGCGCTTCAATGGAGAACGTTGAATGCGCTTCAATACAGCAATTCAATGGGTTGGACGCCTTGGATCCCTATTAAAAGCCATGACCCATGACCCGCCGCAGTTATTAATGGGTTAGATCCGTCTAATATATAAATGGGTTGAGTCTTTATACGATCGTCCAATTAAGGGGCAGGACAGACCTTTTTAATAAAATTACATTAATTAAACTGAGTTTACAACAAACGAAAGTAAAGTATGATAACATAAGTCAATTACAAGCTATCATGTCTTAAATGTGGTTAGGATGAGTTTTCTTAAAAAAAATGTGGTTAGGATGACTTTTTTGTCGTGGCTATTATGACAAATTAATTGTGTCATGTGAAGTGTGAACAATGCAATTGTATAGGTAGTGTTACCTTTGCGGTTTTAACATCAGCTGACGGTCACCTACATTTTATTATAAATACAGTTGCAGACTAGCAAGTGTAGAATTGTATGAGTTAGTTAATTGTATGCGTTGGTTAGTGATCTATGTAAAACAGAAAATTATTAGAGAATAACTTTAGAAGTGACAACTTTAATACTTTTTTTTAAAAAAAAAACCCATCTAGATCAATCAAAGAAATTTCCAAAATGCGAGGAGGGATTACGTCACTCCACACCCATTGGCCAAACTCCCATGGTTGAAAGTAAGTCAATTTATGTGCTACATTATTACCCCATCGCTTTACAAAAGACCACGAATCACTAGTAAAATTAGAACAAAAAAAAAGTAGAATATCCTTTATAATCAGATGAAAGGAACTGGAGTCATACAATTACAAACGCTTCCTCATTGCCTCAATCACCACCGGATTATTACTCTCAATCCCAATGCAGCTCATACCCTTGTTGTTTCGGGGTTTTCTGATGTCCTGCGGGAGAGTTACAATTTCGAGACTGGAACCGGACGCCTGTACCTGCAAAACAAACGGATGCTCCGGATGGTTGGAGATCCGCCTCCAACGGTCAAGTTAGTACTTGATTAAGGAGTAATTAATGCGGAAAATGTAATTTAGTCTCTCTAGGTGAGAGTGTTAAATGTGCGTAATCCCCCCTTAATGAGGATTAATGAGCATATTTATATGCCTTGGGATGCGTGCCAATACTAGGTTTAGGTTAAACCTAAGGCTGACTGGGCTTCCCAAAGATTGGGCCTTGTTGGCTGATTTTCCCATTTGGCATGGGTGGACACGTGTCGCGTTGCAATTGGTCCATGGAGGACGTATCTTTGATTGACACATGGCAGGCTCCGATTGGCCTACATGAAGGACATGTGGCGAAACCTGGTTGGTCCACGTATCAGATGGTGATTGGTGGATAAAAATCCCCTAATCATTTGCCCCTCACAGGTGGCACGTGACTGGTCACGTGTTACCTGTGACAGGTGTCGCACCGTAACAGGCGATGGCCTGCTACAGGTGTCACTTGATGAAAGGCCGAGAGGTTTCCCGCTCAAATTTCGAATTTGGGAGTGACCCTTCGTCTTCTCATTTTGCCTATATAAGAATGTGTTAACTTCAGTCATTTTCACACTTGAGAACTTTTTAAGAGAACATTCGGACCCCTGAACCTGCTCTGACATTCCGGATACTTTCTACCTATCGCCTGCTCTGACAAGTCGGCCGTTTTCTTAGAATTTTCAGAACTTCGTCAACTTCTCACTCGTTCAGGTAACCGTCGGTTCTCTCACTCTTTTAATTTTTCTTTATTTTTTCCTTTTTGAAATGGCACCACGGAAGCACACGACACGACCTAGGTTAGTGATCAGCCGGTCACCAGGGACGGCTGAATCTAGGACTAGGAGTGTCGCCTGCCCTTTTCCAAACCAATCTTTGCCCTTTATACAAAGTCCGACTGTCTCTGTGTCTATGCAGAACATAATGGCCAGAACAAAAAGAACTGCTAGGATCACAAACTCAGACGGCTCCTCCTACCAGGTGCCGATTAGTGAGACATCTGACCAGGCGCCAGATGCTGAAGTAAACCAAGGCGGCTTGACCGCCGATAGCTCTGAGAGAGGGGTCAAGGTGGTCCCTTCCCATTTTACAGTTGACATGTCTAACTTTTCTCCTGCTCCTATCGAAGGAGAGGAGGCGGGCCCCTCTAGGAGAGGAGAGGAGTCGTCCTCTTCGGATTCGTCAGAGGACGAGTCCGAGTCTAGTTCTTCTGGTCATACTTCTCTAGACACAGAAGAGAAAAACAACCGCCTACAAGAGGCGAGGCTTTCTCACGCAGTTGAGAAGGGGGACAATTGGGCGGAGCCGTCCGCCTCTTACAGAGAGCAACATACCCCTTACTACTGCACTGTCCAAAAGGCCGGATCAAGGCCATGCAAGAGAAAGTGGGGAGCTTTATTGCGAACCACACAATGGGCCCCGGCTTTTTAGTTTTTGTGCCGGATCCAGAGGACACAGTCGTCTGCCCGGCTGGTACCAGCTACGATAGCGCCTGCTTCGGCTGCTACGAGGCGGCCATCAGAGCTGGGCTGCGCTTCCCACTACATCCGGCTGTCCAGCGGATCTTGGATGGGTATGAGTTGGGGTTATGGCAGTTAGCCCCAAACTCCTGGTTCAACGTTCTCGGCTATGTGGCCGGGTGCGAACTGCACGGGGTGGAGCCAAACTTTGAGGCTTTCGCCCACATGAATTACCTCAGCCGAACCCCTAAGGCAGGCGGTACCGGCTGGTATTAATTGACGAGCCAAAGAGGCTACCTCATGACAAGAGGTAAAGAAAATAAATGGAAGGATTGGCGAAGCACCTTCCTTATCATTGAAAGTTCAGACACAGAGTTGAACAAGCGCTTCAACAGGTGGAACAGGGATCCGCCTCTTCTTGCAGGCGGCCGTAGCATGCCGCCTGTTCCTCCAAAGGCTAAGAAAGAGATCCTGGACAAAGGACTCTTCAAAGTAGATTCGAGGGTCGACTCTACTACAGGGGTGCGAGAGCAAGTACCCCTGCACTGCGTCCCGAGCTTTAAATGGCTCTATGACGAGTACTTTTTGGCCGCATGTGGCCTCAGCAGTCAGTGTCCAAGAGGTAGCCGGCCTGTCAAATACTCTCTTTTGCCATGCATTACTTGTTATAACTTTTTATTTAACTTTGGTATTTGTCCTTGCAGTGGACGCCATGAGCAAGATCACCGCTTCCAAGACTGCGGCGGCTATGTTGCGAGCCTCTATCTTGCAACAATCTTCAACCGACTCTCCCAACAAGGAGGCGCCTTTGGTAAGTTCCAAGCCTTTCACACACTCTCCTTTTTGAAGTTGGGTTTACGCAGAGACTGACCGCGTGTTTTGTTGTTTTTATTTTTTTTAGACGGGCACTCCTAGAACTTCTTCTTCCCAACAACCGGACTCCAAGACCCGGAGGACGACTGTTGCGAGCTCTCCTGGCACGGCCAGGAAAAATGCAGCGACTGCGAAACAGTCGACCACCCCCTCTCAAACTCCAATAAGGCCGCCTAGGAGTATGGACCTGTCCTTGCGAATTCAGACTTGCTTCCCTTTTACTAGGTCTAACATGCTTGTTTATGCTTGATGCAGCCGGCCCTCAGGAACCGGACCTGATCGAGGTGGCCAAGTCTATGATTAAAGCCGTCCCTCCGGCTGAGAGAGAGGCGGTCAGGGGTGTCGGCACCCTTGACCTAGACGGAATTGCAGGGGTCTTGGCTGAGGTATACTTGGCATACTCTTGTCCTTTAAACTCCGGGACGCCTGGTTTTTGTTTGAAAACTGACGCCTGTTTCCTTTTTATCAGGCTCTGCTCCGAGTGAACGGCCTTCGCAAGCCGCTTGATAGGAAGAACAAAGAGGTAAAGGCTGCTAAAGCTATGGGCGCCTCTGACTGTGATAAGGCAATGTTTCAAATTGCCCAAAATGAGATTTTGACAACTGATATTCTTTATTATCAGGCGCAGGCTACTTCTGCTATCCGGGCTCAGTTGGAGGCGGCCTAGAAAAAAAATAATGAGCTGGAGGCGACCATCAACAATCTCAAGGCCGAGCTGAGACCTCTTCGCCAAAAAATGACCACATACGACGTCTTAGAGAAATCCTTGGAGCGCGTTAAAGAGCGCTTGGCGACTCAGGAGAAGAGTCTCACTGCGGAGCTCTCGGTAAAGGCCGAGCAGGAAAAGAAAGACTTGGTCCGAGAGATGATGGAAGATTCGGCTCAAATTCAGCGCCTGACCTGGGGCCGCCTCTTCCCCAATGCCGACTTTGCCTCATGGGAAAAAACGTACCGCCAGTGTTCCAACAGATACAATCAAGAGATCCTGGCGGCTGCTGAGGACGAGGCAATGGAGGATGAGGATCCGATAGTGGCCATAGTGCCGATTGGGGTGGATGCGTCGAAAAAAGATGTAGCTGAGGCCGAGTCAAGCAAGAAGAATGCTGACCAGGCGGCAGCTGCTATTATTGAAGATCTGCCCCCATCTTAAGCTTTGTCTTCTTCGGCCTGCGTGCCGTTTGCTTTCTTTTACCCGGCCAGGGGGCCGGGGCTCTGAATATTTTGCCGGTCTTAATAGCCGGCTTCTTTTGTATCTTTTACCCGACCAAGGGGCCGGGGTTTTGAATATTTATGCCGGTCTTTGTGGCCGGCTGTTAATATAACTTAGGCGACCATTATTTTAGGTCGCCTTTTTTTGCCAAAATGCTTCGAATTCTTCGAATTTGCGCTTTTATTTTGCTAAGTATCGAAACTCTGATATCCAGTTGCATACTATACCGACTGTTTCTTGCATGGCCGATAGTTGCAGACAAGTAAGAGGTAGTCACGCTAGACAGGTAAGAGGTAGTCACGCTGCCTATGCCCTGGACGACTGGTTGTCTGTTTCCAGGCTAGGCGATCAGTCGGCCATTTATTCAACTGGTATCTGACTTATTTTGAAGACTGGATCCCCTTTAGGCGGGCGGTCCTGTCATTTTTAGTATTAACCAAGTAGGAAGATGGTTTCTCGCCTGCCATGGTTTTAAGCGAGAGAAACTAGGCGGTCTGGGCCGGCTAGTCCCTCTGTGTTAACTTAGTGAGAACAGGCGATATATGAACACCTTTT